TCCGTCCAGCTTTCTCCAGCTGACTCCTTGATTCCCTCAAAGATCAGGTTTTTTCGCTTGGACTGTACTTCCAAATGCTCCATTTTATCCGTTATGGCTATTAAACTTTCACAAGTTTTGTAGACATCATCCCTTGTTTCCTTGGTTTGTATTTTCTGTTCACCCGTGGCTGCTTTAATCACATCCACCTTTCGCTGGGTAAACTGCAAACTTGTTTTTATCTCCTGTATTTCTCTGGTCATGTCGTCGAATCTCTTGTTGTTTGTCTCCATAATTAGCTGCACGAAGCCTTTAAAGTTTTCCTGCTGTTGTTTCATCAGCGCGATGTACATCTGTTTCTGCTGATCCAGTATGTCTGTTACTTGCGCCGCTCTGTGATACACTTCTTTTGCCTCCATATCCTCATTCACTTCTGATTTATTAGCTCTTTTCCCTCTTTGAGGCATTTTAATAGTTGTAGAGTTTGTTCAAAGACTTGAAAGTGTAGAACAGACAAGAGGAGCAGTAAAGACGTCTGCTCTTGCTTGCAACCCGGAAAGGATCACTGAAGGGATATTTACTAATTCTGCTGCAAATTACCGTCAGATGCACCTGATATTGTGGCACAACAGTTTTTCAATTTACCAACAATGATGATGTAAATAAGCAAAGCTGCAGCTGTGTTAAATTGAATACACCTCCTCTTAGGATCTGGTGCCTGTATTGTGCATAAGTGGACCAAGAGGAAGACTGGAAGAAAATCTGAGTTTACAGTGGCTTGAACTTTAATATGGTTAAGAAATCAACATGTGTATTTCGGAGCTACAGCCATGCAGTCTTCTATCAGTCAAATCATCTTTTATTTCACTGAGTAACTGAAGCATGGTTTGGCATGGAAGCCTGTACAAGTCCCTCTCATTCTCCTCTGGTGAGCAGTACGAATTACAAACACCCACTCTCTCCTCACAGATGTTTTTAACTCTGACAGCATCTCAAATGACTAGCAGCTGCCATGCTGAGAGCACTTCCCTTTGTTGCAGCAATGGTACATCAGGCACTGAGGGTATTTGTATACATTTCTATTATCTCCTCGGTGATTCTAAAAATTGACCACAAAAGCTTATTAAATGTCCCCCTTAGTATGCAAACAAACGTTTACTGAAAATGGTGTTTGTCACTTGCAGGACTGTCAGCATTGACCATAAAAATGTCCAAAAATCACCAGCACTTCTGGCCTTCAATCAGCCAGAAGCCGCAGGCAGCTGCAGTTTACTGCTCTTGAGGTGCTACTTTGTTGCTGCTGTCATTCAGTCACTACCAGTCACCTACAGAGTGGCAATCACTGGTTGGAACTCTGTCAGTCACTGTTATGAACTTTGTCATTCACTAGAGTTAGTGAAACTCTTCTCTTGCATGGTCCTCTGGTTGTAGAATGAGCTGCATAACAACTTGGTCAGCACAAGTCTTTTCTATCTTCAGCATTTGGTAGAAGACCTTCCTCTTCTAAGGTCATCAAAAATGGTCTGTTTCTCTTTTCTAGCATTTAGCTAGAATAAGTATAATAATATCACATCAATATGATATTTTTTAAACAGTAAAATATTGATAGCTCTATCTGCCTCAAAAGTCCAGTATTACAGTTTGGAGTACACTGCCCACCCAAGTACTGTATCGAGGAAGACGGCAGGGTAGGCAGATTAGTGAGAGCTGAAAGAGGAGGTTATTTCTTCTTCTGTTCATGTGCCACATTATTCACATGGATTGAAGTATTGGGATTCCCTCACATGATACCTTCTGTTTCATTGTCTGGGTTAAACAGATATCTTGAGTGAGTGAATCTAATTCACTCTCTCTACCTGTCTCTGTTGTCCCTCCTCTCTTATTTCTGTACTGTCTTTGTTCTCTCTCATTTCTCTTCTTGCTTGTTCTATCTTTGTCTTTATTGATCCCTTGGTCTCTCATTGCAGGTACCTACCGCCAGTCAGCAGCCATTCAACTGAGGGAAAGTCCAAGTGGGGAAGACCACCTTGCAGAGGGGCTACTCCTTAGCCAGCCTGGCACTCCCTCCCCATACAACCGTGATCCCCCAAGGACTCCACCAACCCCAGCTCACAAGCAACCAGTGAATTACGAGCAACAGTGGGGGCAACCCACTTCTGACCTTCTTCCAGGGCACAGCAAGTGGCAGCTGGAGGGTGTGGAGGGTACAGACATAGTCAGAGTTGGGACAGGTAGCCAGATAGCTGGCCACGGGAATGGAGGAGGCAGAGGTGGGGTCTCCGGCTACTATAGGCCCACTCGCAGAGGGACCCCAAGGTTGAGCACCCATAATCATTTTGACATCAATGAACACCTTCCCTGGATGATTGTGCTTCTGCTCCTGCTGATGCTAGTGGTGATTGTGGTGTGTAGCATGAAGCGGAGCTCTCAGGTACTGAAGAACGGCCCCGTGCAGGACCCAGGCAGCATCATGGAGAAGGCGATTCAGAAGAAACCATCTGCGTCTCTAACGCAGTTTAAAGAGAAGTGGATCTACTATTCCAATGGACAGGGTAAGTTTACTTTCTCTTTGATTTCAACAAGAGTGGCTCTAGTGAAAGAGTCTGGGGGCTTCTTTAATGTTGAGATTGGTGACAAATCAAAGGAAAACATTTAAAATACCTTTTAAATGTTGTTGGCCACCCATCAACCTCCACTGCAGCTTAAATGCTGCATGTCAGATTCTCCAGGTCTGTGGAACTGGAGAGATGAATCCTTCCAAAAGATATTCCTACATTTATTGACAGGTTTCAAATTTAAATCTTTAAAATGAGATGTTGTCCATTGCCAAGTGGGATATTTTCCATTGCCCATGACCAAATCTCTAAAAATCAGTATGATGTCATGACTATGGCAGTGTCAACATGGTTGTGACATCCTCTGCGATGTGCAGAACTATGAAATGCCCTCGGAGAAAGCATCTTAATCATAGCTTTGGCGCGATACTTTTCCTGTGTGGCTGTATATGCCTTAGATTTGTATGGACTCATAGTTGCACACTGGATGTGATTGTGGTGTAAAGAAGTGTGAGTTCTACTCCCGAGCTGTACTGGTCCATCTGTTGATGTGTTTGCATCACTGAGAAAATATGATCCAATCAGTTCTGCCAGCACATTCGAAAACAGTGTTTATACAAGCAAGGACATGACCCTGCTGTGGTACCACAGGTTGGTACTCTGAAGTTGCCTTATTGCTCTCAGCTCTCATGCTAGTAGCTCCTCCTTTTCCTCCTCTCTCTTGTTTATCTCCTTCTCAGTCTCTTCCTCTGTCACTTATTCTTACCTTTATTTCATCTTCCTCCCTTGTTTTTCACTCTTGCTTTTTTAAATCTCACCCCTTTCTCTTTTATTCACTGTGCCTTATTTTGAACTCTGTCTCCTCAGTCTTTCATTTATAAAGCTCCCAGTTTCCTATTAATGCTCAGCTCTCTCTGTTACCTTTGTTACCTCTCAGAACTTCTCTTTACTTTTGTCTGTTGACACCACGACTATCAACAGGTAGAGAAAATTTTGCCCTACAGTTGAGCTCTCCATTTCAAAGAGAGAGAGAGACTCTGACTCAGGGGACACCTGCTGCCTGAGACACTAGACTCTCCACTTTGAAACTGTGTGTGTGTGTGTGTGTGTGTGTGTGTGTGTGTGTGTGAGCTGTGATAAAGCTGAGCCATCCACTACTTTTTCTCTGCTCGCTGCCTCAGTGACTGACCACAGTGAACTGGAATAATCTGGTTTCGGCTGCATTTGGGTTGCTGTTTGGTTGGCAAGGCACATGAATGTGTCTGTCGGCAACAGGGCTACAAACAGATGTATAGAGAAAAAGAAATCAAGATAGAAAGCAAGAAGATATAGGAGTTGTGTGTGTACTTGTGTGTTCTTGTACTTGCTATATAGTGAGGACCCAAAAAGTATTTTTTGCTACAGAGTGGGGACATTTTGGCTGGCCCTCAATTTCTGAAACAGCTTTTTGAGGGTTAAGACTTGGTTTTAGGGTCCAGGTTAGAATTAGGTTAGGCATTAGGGGAAGGGGAAGGGGCTAATTAATGCATTATGTCAATGAGTGAACACGCAAAGATATTCATTAATATAAGTATGTGTATGAGTATGTGTAGTTAAGAAAATGTTTTTGAATAAAGCAACAAAGTCACTGGAATTGTCTATCCAATGGTTTACTTGCAGCAAGGAGACAAGTCAAGTACAAAGGTACAGAGTTGTCTAAAGAAATTCACTTCATGCAGTATATTATAAGGTTGGAGGCACGCCCGGTGGACATGGCTTAGAAGCAAACACCTCCTTCTGTCTAGCATAATAGTGCTCAACATCTTCGTCATCTTTTTGTAAGCATCTGTTAACTTCAGTCCAGTTTGCATGTGCTTGATATCTGGTGTTTGCTCTTGTCAGCAAAGCCTCAAGGTGCATATTCAGATCTGCATTGTCATACTCAAGTGGTTAGCCTTGGGCATTGTTCGGGTTCCACTCCCTGCTGACGACACACCAGTCGGGTCCCAGAACCTGTCTGGTGGCTAGTTCTAATTCAGCACCTTTCAATCTGTAGCTCCTATAAAAATTTGTTATGTCTGTTGCAAACTGAGCAGCTTTTAACTTTCAGATGTGGAATTCCCTCAGTTGCTTTTTTAACTTCAGGGTATATGGTGGACCAATTTCGATTACAGGCTCCGTTGCAGCCTGAGCTGGTGCAGATGGAGTGGGAGGGCGGCGGCCTTGAGTATGTACTGCAGCAACTATGTTGTCATCCTCTTTGTCTCTGAGGACCAATGCCTCTTTTGTCTGTGCCTTCTGTTTTTTATACCCATCCTTCTTTTTTTTTGCTTCTACTATAGACTAACACTATGCAGTTCACAGGCTATAACTACTGGTCTTACTGCGACACAACTCAGTTACTGCATACTGGTCTCGTGTTTCAAGTAGTTCCTCTTTTAACGTGCACATGAAGTTATTTATTACCTGTAGCCTTCTCACATAGGCTATGGACTTTTTTGTTTTATTTAAAACCGCTTCTTCCTATTTTCCCACTTGGGTTGTTAAAAAGTGGTGGAGAGTTCCTGCCTCAAGTGGAGGAGTTCAAGTATCTTGGAGTCTTGTTCATGAGTGAGGGAAGGATGGAACAGGAGATTGATAGGCGGATCAGCGCAGCTTCTGCAGTAATGCGGTCAATGTACCGGTCCGTCGTGGAGAAGAAGGAGCTGAGCTGTAAGGCGAAGCTCTCGATTTACTGGTCGATCTACGTTCCGACTCTCACCTATGGTCATGAGCTTTGGGTCATGACCGAAAGGGCAAGATCCCGGATACAGGCGGCCAAAATGAGCTTCCGCCACAGGGTGGCCACCCTTAGAGAAAGGTTGAGGAGCTCAGCCACCTGGGAGGAGCTCAGAGTAGAACCGCTGCTCCTCCACATCGAGAGGAGCCAGCTGAGGTGGCTGGCCTGGGAACGCCTCAGCATTCCCCCGGAGGAGCTGGAGGAAGTGTCTGGAGAGAGGGAAGTCTGGGCATCTTTGCTTAGACTGCTGCCCCCGCGACCTGGTTCCGGATAAGCAGAGGAAAATGGATGGATGGGTAGAGGGTTGTTAAAAAGGATCTTAAAAATAGGAAGGATCACACCCTGTCAATGTACATTATTATTAGGCTTCATTTCTCTGACTGTTTAGTAAATTGGGTAAGAATAAAAGGTCCTCACTTTTTTATTCATGCCAAAATATGAGTCATCACCTTTTTGTCATTCACACGGTTTTCTCCTACCTATTCCATTGAAGTCATTCTTTCCATTGGACTCCCATCACCTTCCACTTGTCCAGCAAATCCTGGCCTCACAAGTAGTCAAAACATTCTTTGAAGAAGAATACGACTGAGGTCTTTCTTAAGGAAGGACTCTAACCTCCCCCCGTGCACGGTTTTCAGATTCAAACCTGGATGTGGACGAGGGAGAGAATGTTGGGTTCTGGCTTGAAGGACCAAGTTGTTAAGAAACTTTCTTTGAATAAAGCAATGAATTCACTACAATTGTCTAACAAATGGTTTACTTGCAGCAAGGAGACAAGTCAAGAACAAAGGTACAGAGTTGTCTAAAGAAATTCACTTCAGGCAGTATATTATGTAGTTGGAGACATGCCCGGTGGACATGGCTTAGAAGCGAAGTCATCATGTTAGCAATTATATGTCGCAAGTGTGGCAATTGTCCCACACCTCCGGTCTATTGATTGTGTATTGTTACAGCTAGATTAGAGAGAAGAGAAGAAATATCTTAATTCTTCAAACACAGACAGTTTCAATCTTTCACTCATGTTCTCTCTGAAAGTTTAACAACATCAAGCTCAGACATAATAATGCAATCAGCATATAATCAATACCACATGTCTATCATGTGACATGGTTTCCATAACAGTACTGTATGATGTTACCTAGCAGCAGCCCTTGTTAGACCAGGTACTTAAAGTGATGCCTGAGTGACAGTGAGGTACTGTATAAGGGTAGCGACAACTAAACTTTTAAGTAACTTCTTTGATCTCGTAAGACTTAAAACTCAGGTTTTTAAAAAACCATGACCTGTATGTCAGCTAGCATCAGTGCATACAGTAGTTACCTTAAATGCCTAATCAAAACATCCATCCATCCATCCATCTTCTTCAGCTCATCCAGGACCAGGTTACGGGGGCAGCAGTCTAAGCAAAGATGCCCAGACTTCCCTCTCTCCAGACACTTCCTGCAGCTCCTCCACGGGAATGCCAAGGCGTTCCCAGGCCAGCCGAGAGACGTAGTCCCTCCAGCGTGTCCTGGGTCTTCCCCGGGGCCTCCTCCCAGTGGGACATGCCCGGAACACCTCCCTAAGAAGGCGCCCAGGAGGCATCC